GTGCATTAATTGTTAATAGTCATAAGGTAAGTCAACAATAATCAGTACAATTGTTATTATTTTAGGTGGAGCTGATAGTAACATGCCTGTAATGTATAGTTGATGACCTTAAGTTCGCAAGAAAGTGGAAGGCATTCTTTATTGGTAGTTTTCATTTGCATATAGTGGAAACCTTGACTGCTGAAAGTGAGCAAAAATATTACTTCATTAAGAAGATGGATAACAACTACGAAGACTGTAGCACCCATGATTCTATTGTTGCTTCGTACATGATCCTTAGAGATTGGAAAAACATTTCTGAATGAAATACTGGAAAAACAAAAATGTTTATTTTCATCAAATCTCCAGAAAGAGACTAAAAGTATTTTGATAACTATCAATCTATAATTTCACATATTTTAATCTCTCTATATTTTAGTTCAACAATCATCTTGGAGCAAGTGCTTACGAAAATACAGGACATTTTGGAAAACGTTGTTTTATCTAATACCAAAGTTTGATAATTAATTGTGACGAAGCTATGGTAGCTACAAACTTGTATTTACACTCATTTTAATCTCTGTATATTCAAGATCAACACTAATGTCCTAAAACCTTCTTAGAGTTGGTGTATAGAAAAATACAGGCCATTTTCGAAAATGTTATTCTCCAAACTGTCTAATACCAAAGTTTGATAATTAATTGTGACCAAGCTATGATAGCTACAAGCCTTATTTATACTCATTTTAATATCCGTATATTTAAGATCAACATTAATGTCCAAATTCTTCTGAGAGTTGGTGTATACGAAAATACAAAGTTGTTAACTCATGTTATTTCAAGTTGAAAGAACATCCAATCCTAGGACTTTGGTTGGAATAAGATTTTCCAAGATAATTTCTCCACTATTGTGCCAAATTACCAAAGTTTGTTAAACAATTATGAAGACACCATTGAAGCTTACAAACTAATATTTACGCTAATTTTAATCTGCGTATATTCAAGATCAACATCCATACATATAATTCTTCTGGGAGCTCATGTTTACGAAAATACAGGCCATTATCTAAGTCTTTGTTTTCCTACTTGTTCATCAAAGTTTATATGTATGTTTGGTTGCAGACTGTTGCCTGAATATTCCGAAAGATGACTCTAATCGTCATAATTAAAATGCATATAACTCTAAATCTAATTAGCATTTTATTTATTAGACTAAAGTAATAAAATAAAATTAATTCAGGCATAATTATTATATATTTGTTTATTTAAATTAGAACGGTTTTTAAGAAGTGGGTTTTGTGCAGCGCCAAAATGCCTGAACTACAACCTTTGGAATATTGCTAACAGATGGTGCCAGCTGTCACTCAAATTGGAAAATATATTTTGCGCCTAAACTACAGGCAACCGAACATACATATAGTTTTTTGAAGTACTATTAGGAAAACAACGACTTAGATAATGGCCTGTATTTAGGTATACATAAGCTACCAGAAGAATGTTAGAAATGAATGTTGATCTTGAATATACGTAGATTCAAATGAGCATAAATATTGGATTATAGCTGCTATAGCGTCTTCAAAATTAATTAACAAACTTTGGTATTTCACAAATTATATCTAGCAAAATAACGTCTTCGAAAATGGCCTGAATTTTCGTAAATATTAGTTCCCACAATAATCTTAGACATGAATGTTGATCTTGAATATACGTAGATTCAATTGAGCATAAATATTGGATTATAGCTGCAATAGCGTCTTCATAATTAATTAACAAACTTTGGTATTTCACAAATGACAGCTGGCAAAATAACGTCTTCGAAAATGGCCTGTATTTTCGTAAAAAATAGCTCCCACAAGAATGTTAAACATAGATGTTGATCTTGAATATACGTAGATTCAAATGAGCATAAATATTGGATCATAGCTTCAGTAGCGTCTTCAAAATTAATTAACAAACATTGATATTTCACAAATGATAGCTAGCAAAACAACGCCTTCGAAAATGGCCTGTATTTTCGTAAGAAATAGCTCCCACAAGAATGTTAGATAATGATGTTGATCTTGAATATACGTAGATTCAAATGAGCATAAATATTGGATTATAGTTGCTATAGCGTCTTCTTAATTAATTAACAAACTTTGGCATTTCACAAATGACACATTTTCGAAAATGTTATTCTACAAATTGTCTAATACCAAAGTTTGATAATTAATTGTGGCCAAGCTATGGTAGCTACAAGCCTGTATTTATACTCATTTTATTCTCTGTATATTTAAGATCAACATTAATGTCCAAAATTCTTCTGAGAGTTATTGTATACGAAATTACAGACCATTTTCGAAGACGTTATTTTCCCAACTCATTTGTGAAATACCAAAGTTTGTTAGACAATTATGAAGACACCATTGAAGTTAGAAACTAATATTTAGGGTAATTTTAATTTGCGTATATTCAAGATCAACATCCATATATATAATTCTTCTGGGATCTCATGTTTACGAAAATACAGGCCATTATCTAAGTCTCTGTTTTCCTACTTGTTCATTAAAGTTTATATGTATGTTTGGTTGCAGAGTGTTTCCTGAATATACCGAAAGATGACTCTGCTTCTCATAATTAAAATGCATATAACTCTAAATCTAATTAGCATTTTATTTATTAGACTAAAGTAATAATATAAGATTAATTCAGACATAATTATTATATGTTTGCTTATTTAAATAAGAACAGTTATTAAGAAGTGGGTTTTGTGCAGCGCCAAAATGCTTGAACTACAGCCTTTGAAATATTGCTAACAGATGGTACCAGCTGTCATTCAAATTGGAAAATATATTTTGCGCCTAAACTACAGGCAACCGCACATACATATAGTTTTTGAATAACAATTAAGAAAACAACGACTTAGATAATGGACTGTATTTAGGTATACATAAGCTCCCAGAAGAATGTTAGAAATGAATGTTGATCTTGAATATACGTAGATTCAAATGAGCATAAATATTGGATTATAGTTGCTATAGCGTCTTTTTAATTAATTAACAAACTTTGGTATTTCATAAATGAAAGCTGGCAAAATAACGTCTTCGAAAATTGCTTGTATTTTCGTAAAAAATAGCTCCCACAAGAATGTTAGATATGGATATTGATCTTGAATATACGTAGATTCAAATGAGCATAAATATTGGATTATAGCTGCAATAGCGTCTTCATAATTAATTAACAAACTTTGGTATTTCACAAATGACAGCTGGCAAAATAACGTCTTCGAAAATGGCCTGTATTTTCGTAAAAAATTGCTCCCACAAGAATGTTAGACATTGAAGTTGTTCTTGAATATACGTAGATTCAAATGAGCATTAATGTTGGTTTATAGCTGCTATAGTGTCTTCATAATTAATTAACAAACTTTGGTATTTTACAAATGACACATTTTCGAAAATTTTATTCTACAAACTGTCTAATACCAAAGTTTGATAATTAATTGTGACCTAGCTATGGTAGCTACAAGCCTGTATTTACACTTATTTTAATTTCTGTATATTTAAGATCAACATGAATGTCCAAATTTTTTCTGAGAGTTGGTGTATACGAAAATACAGGCCATTTTCGAAGACGTTATTTTCCTAGATATAATTTGTGAAATACTAAAGTTTGTTAATTAATTTTGAAGACGCTATAGCAGCTACAATCAAATATTTATGCTCATTTGAATCTACGTATATTCAAGATCAACATTCACTTCTAACATTCTTCTGGGAGCTTATGTATACCTAAATACAGGCGATTATCTAAGTCGTTGTTTTCCTAATCGTTCTTCAAAAAGTATATGTATGTTCGGTTGCCTGTACTTTAGGCGCAAAATATTTTTTCCAATTTGAATGACAGCTGGCACCATCTATTAACAATATTTCAAAGGTTGTAGTTCAGGCATTTTAGCGCTGCACAAAACCCACTTCTTAAAAACCGTTCTAATTTAAATAAACAAATGTTTAATAATTATGCCTGAATTAATCTTATGTTATTACTTTAGTCTAATAAATATAATGCAAATTAGATTTAGAGTTATATGCATTTTAATTATTACAAGCAGTGTCATCTTTCGGAATATTCAGGAAACAGTCTGCAACCAAACATACATATAAACTTTGATTAACAAGTAGGAAAACAAAGTCTTAGATAATGGCCTGTATTTACGTATACATAAGCTCCCAGAAGAATGTTAAAAATGAATATTGATCTTGAATATACGTAGATTAAAATGAGCATAAATATTGGATTGTAGCTGCTATAGCGTCTTTAAAATTAATTAACAAACTTTGGTATTTCACAAATGAGTTGGGAAAATAACGTCTTCGAAAATGGCCTTTATTTTCGTATACACCAACTCTCAGAAAAAATTTGGACATTAATGTTGATCTTGAATATACGTAGATTCAAATGAGCATAAATATTTAATTGTAGCTGTTATAGCGTTTTCAAAATTAATTAACAAACTTTGGTATTTCACAAATAACAGCTGGCAAAATAACGTCTTCGAAAATGTACTGTAGTTTCATAAAAAAAACTTGTTCCCAGAAGAAATTCTAAACGTTAAGCATTTTAGAGTACTCATTCGAAAGGTGGCTATCTCTAAGTTACGATTCTTGTTGAATTATACAATTATCCTAAGTGGTTATCTTGAAATCAATCCAAAAGTAAACATATTGAATTTTGAGCAAGTACACATTCTCCAGCTCCAAGCAGGCGACTCGATGATACCACGAAGATGACAGTAGGCTCATTGGAAAGGTGATCCTTTAAGCTTTAATTTGCATATTCAATGATCTGTTAGTCTTCTGGGGCTGTTTAGTTATGGAGATCGACAAATGTAAGATTCAAAAATAATTGTCGACAACTGCTCTAATCTAGTTGCCCCCTAATTGCTGTAACCAAAGATGCATGCCTTTTATTAATATATTATACAGTTTCCTGTAATAGGATTAGTATGTTGTTGTGACATTACCAATAGTTCAAATGTCAAATGTGTCAAGTAAACGTCAAAAATGTAAACACGAGTAAACATAAGTTTAAGATAAATGTGAATGTGATTTTACTCTAATTGGAATATTTTTTTAATTAATTTGCAAATAAGTGCAGTGACATGGCGACGCAGGAGAAACTACTAAAGTCCTTGGAGGCTCTGAGACTGCTACTGAACTCTAACCAAGCTTTAGATCCAGTGAAGTAAATATTTTTTTATTTGAATATCTGGAAGTAGATTTTAAATCATTTCGAAAATTTCAGAAAGAAGGAGAAGATTCAGCACTGTAATATCATTGTTGAGGCTATGATGAATCCCACTATAAAGATTGCTAAGAACTTCAACACTTTCCTGAGTTTTGCCATGGATGTTCTCTTACAGTTGTGTGATGATCCTGAGTCTGATGTCAGGATGACAGCTGATGAGTGCCTGAATAAGATCATCAGAGTAAATAGATTAACTTACTTTTAAAGATACATACTTATTTTGATATTTAAGGCAATGGGTAATAGCAGTATTACCAAGATCCAAATAGAATTGCACAAGGAAATTAAATCTAATGGATCAGCTAGGTCTTTGAGAGCTGCTCTATGGAGATTTGCACTGCTGGCTCATCACATAAGGCCACACAAGGGAAAACCATATGTCATTAATTTGGTCCCTTGCATAGTGAAGATTTTGGAGAGAACTGAAGAACTAGTCCATGAGACTTTAGCTAACAGTATGGGAAATATAATGAAGACACTTGGATGTTTCACTATGGATAGAGATATCAAGGTTCCAACAGTGTCAATAAATATAGTTCTTTTACAACTTACTTTGCCTGTTTTAGTGTATACTGGATGCATGTTTGAAGAATGTGAAAAATTCTCAGTCTGCGGTAATTCGAAGGACGTCCTCAAGTTGTATATTAAGTGTGTGCCTGAATTGTAGAAAACCATACATCTACCTTTCCTATGTTCTAAATAATTTAGTTGGTAAATCCAATTGGCAATCACTGCGATCTTTCGCTATACAAATCTCGATTTAATTTTCCAGATTATTTAATACCCGTCCAGGAAAGCCACGCCACTTTCATGATAATAGGCGTTTTCGGTTGTCTGAAAGCAATATTGCCAAAGCTGAAGAGTTTCGAGAAGGAGTCGAGAATGAATAATTACAATTTCTCAAGCAGAAAAGACGCCATCGATAAATCAGTGACAGTCGATCGATTTCTACAGGTAACATCTATTAAATAATCCACGTGTTAACTAAAGAACAAAACAAAAAAAAAACTCTGATTTAGATATACGAACTGTCTTTGCATTATTCCTCGCACGGTGATCACAACATTGTGAACGCTTCGCTAGAGACGTTGAACACGCTTTTTCAAAATTGTACAAAGCAATTTAAGGCGGCTTTAGTTAATCAAGATGGCCTCAAATGTAGCAAAATCGTTGCGGAAAGTGCCAAAATTAAAATGCGATCGCCTAGTAAGCAATATGACTACATATGCTTACTATTGCAATACTAATTTGGTTATGATTATAGGTCAATTGAGCGTAGCTACCACGCTAGTTTCGGAAGACAATTTACCTTTGGATGTGGAGCTGTTTGATAACTTCAAATCGGAAGATATTGAGAAGTGGATAGACGAATCCAAATTGTCCGTCATCAATGTGAATTACGTTAAAGATGATAAAGCGGGAAATTTCTGCGACTCGATAGATGGTACCATCAACAGTGCCAACGATAAGAGCAAGTGTTTTGATTATTCCAATATTACCATCGGTACTCTTAATGATTTGTACGCGGATAGCTTGAAGAGCGAGAGTATTGTTGAGCACATGGACAAACTAGTCTTGAGTGAGGGATCTTCTGAAAAAAGTAGCTCTTTGAAGGCCGACGATAAATCAACAAGTTTATTAGAAGATGTACCTTTAGTGAGTTTTAATCCAATTAATAATACGCCCTCATATAATAGTTTTTTTTTATAATTAATTAGGATATCGACGTTGGGGATTTTTTGGATAAAGCAGTGCCTTTGATTTATTGTGGTCGTTTATTAACGAAGCAATTCTTGTTGAACGGTGTGCCTGGAAAATTAATTCCCGATAAGAAAGTGCGAGTTTCCACAAAGAATCTTGCATTAACATGCCTTTCGAGCATCGTACAAATATACCCGCAAATAGTTGTTGTCCATTTGGATCGGAAAGTCACGACCCAGAGGATAAGCGATGTATTGATTTTTGCAAATCACGGAGATCCTCAGCTGAGGGGCCAAGTGCGTATCCTCATTTCCAATTTCATCAGAGCCGTTTTAGTATTGAGCAACGGCGATTATCAATGTTGGATCGACGATATTTGCAGTCTGGATTGCTTCAAATTATCGAATTTGATGGAAATGCTTTTAAAAGTAATTCAATTACTTAATTTTTATTTAAGCTTTAACTATTGAAGATTCATAATCATTGCAGGGATTGAAAGACGAATCATCAACTTGCAGTCGGCAATCTTTAGTTTGTTTGAACAATTTTCTGCGATTGCTATTGGATTCAGAGTTATGTGTTGAGGCCTGGCCCATTTTGAATTACCTTCCAATTTTAGCGCAGGATCCATATTGGTTGGTTAAGGTAAATAACATCGTATTTCAATATAAATCTGGTTATCTAATAAGAGCATATTCAGGTGAAATTAGTAGAGGTCATTTCCGAATTGGAGTACGTAACCATAGCACACGCATTTCCCACTTCGCAGTATCAAAACAAAGTGGTTTTTAATATTCTATTTGAGCTCATCAAGGACGAAGATCAGCGTGTTCGTTTAGCAGCATCAAATGCTATAGTCTCGTGAGTTTTTTTTATTATAAATTTCAAACTATATAGATTTATTCTAAATGTACATCATTTTATAGGGTTATACCAAAATTGTATTTCAAACATCATTATCCTAATGACTCTACGGTTACGTTCAAGGCTGTCTCTTACCGAAATACGTATATCCCACGATTATTTAGTGGAGAGATAGATGGTAACATCAACAAGAAACACTTCGTCGAAAGTATGCCATTTCCATATAATACGGCTTCCAAAAAATTGAATATCATCGAAATATCGTTAGGAAAAATCATCACCAAATTGTTTCAATACTTATTAACAACAACTTCGAAATATTATATTGTGAGTTTCGTCTTATATGAAACGAACGTCTTGTTATAACTAGTAATTCTTGTAGTACGGCTGTATAGAGACTTTGAATGCTTTGAGCTTCAAATTTCCAACGAGTGTGTATAAAAAGGCTTGGAGCTGTTTTAAGACGATTTCGGTAACGAAGCAGCGGCAGATATTCCAGCGAAGCAACTCCATTGGAGGAATCGCATCTCCAATAGAGGAATACTTCATAAGCAGTTCCGCGGATCTACTAAACGTTACAGTTCATCTTTTGACGAACGGAATCGTTTGCTATGATCTTAATTGCCATTTGAACTTGATCACTTTGGCTGGAAATCTCTTTGCAGGTTGTTTTTTAATGCAAATATTGAAAATAGATTGGTTATACACTATTTGATTTAGGTAAATGGCTGGAGAATATGAAAGCTCCGGCCGATTTGGGTTTGGAAGGAGCCAGGGAACAATGGGATTTATTTGCTGACAAGACTTTGGCGCAAATGTCCGAAGTATTCTTGGTGCATGTGATCAAAATGCTGAATATATTTTCCCATATAATCGACGAATCTGTGCCAAATTTACCTCAGAATAAGCTTCCCAATTTACCATCGACCAGCAACTTGTCTCCCATCAAGAGAAAGAAGAGCGACTTGGGCGAAAAGAAGATACTTTCGCCGAGCAAAACGCCTGACAAGGAAGATAAAAAGGTCGATTCTAAAGTTAATGCAATGGGATATTTCGCCAATTCTCCGCATTACATGAAGTTCTACGATATTTTGAAAGTCGCTTACAATAATTACAAGGTGCAGATATTAATTTTTAAATTGAACATATTTTTGTATTACTTATAAAATTAATACTTACATAGATCACATTGGAGTCTGAGGCATCGGAAAACTTCCTAAGTTTACTGAAGAGTACTCTAAACACTTTCTCGCAAATCCTGGAGGTGGCAACCTTAACAGAAATAGGAAGAATCGCTGAAGAGATTTTGCTGTATTTAAAATCCATTTTCCACCTGGATTCGGCATCAACTGTATTATGCGTGCAGCAATTACTGAAAAGCCTATTTGGCACAAATTTGAGCTCGGATTCCGATGTAATTTTGACGTACTTGAATCAAAATTCTCAAAGCGGAGAGAAAGAAGTAATTATTACCATACTCTTCAAACATTTACTAATCGTTTCATCGCTATAGGGCAATTTCGGATTTTACTATCGTGCCGCACAAATACCATTTGAATCGATTGGAAATTGCGTAAGCGCTTTAAATACTGTTGGAAAAGTGGACTGTGATGGTGATAGCACAGTAATGGGTTACTTGCATCGAAAAGAGAATAAGATTGGAGCGAACAAAGGTTCGGATAGAATACTTGCCAATTACATAAGGATTTTCGAACCGATGGTTATCGAATCTTTAAAGGTTTCTAAATCAATTTATTAGTGAATGTTTATTAAATTTTCGATTATGTTTTAGCATTACACGATTACCAGTAATGTTCAATTGCAATGCCAAGTTCTTCAGTTGTTGGGGCAATTGGTGCAGTTGAGGGTGAATTATTGTTTGCTTGATTCCGAGCAGATTTTCATAGGTTTCGTTTTGAAGCAATTCGAATTCATCGAAGAGGGTCAAATTAGGTACGTAATAATCTGTTGATAACAGGTTAATCGATTTATTTTCGTTTCAGTTTATCTGAAGAATTGATACCGAAAATTTTCCAATTTTTGGTTCATTTATCCTACGGCAAACAACATTCGAAGAGTATCATAGATATTCCGAAGATCATTCAACTATGCGATGGTTTAATGGCGAGCGGACAATCACCTTTGACTCATTGCATTCCTGCTCTGAAGCCGATCGTTGAAGATGTCTTCCTGTTAAGGAACAAATCGAATACACCGAATTTTAAAGATTTGGAAACCGCCAGGGAATTTTTGGTTTCTATGCTTTTACGTTTATTGGAGTACGGCGAAATCATCGATCTGTTCGTGCTTGTCTTGAACGAAAGCAAGTATTGCGATAATTCGGAACGATGGATCAGATTATCGCGTCAAGTCTTCGACGTCTTTCTATCAATGCTTGAGCAGAATAAAATCAAAGTGGATGAAGGCAATTGCTTTGAGGAAATCATCAAACTGATATTCGCACTGCATCCGAGCGCCTACAAAGACGTCGATAAGATACTCATCAACTTATTTGGAGAACCTCCTGTCCAAGTAATTTCGACTCGCGAGTTTCTTATAAATACTTTAAGTAATGGATTTTTTTTTAGGAGGATAAACATTTAGTCCGTTATTTAGGAAAGGTTTCTATATTGTTGTTGATACTCTCCCGAATGAAAGAAGACAAATTGCTCTTGAGGATCGCCGATAATCAAATGGAGTTTGCACCGGAAAGCGTTTATGTGCACATCGTAGAACCCGATCCTCTAAACGTTACCAAAATCTGCGACGTTCTTTCTCACGTGCAACCGGAAGTTGTTTTGTTGCGTTTCCTGTTTCGCATCGTGCACATATCTTTGAATAAGTGCGTTGAAATCGCGCAAAATCAAGAGCACGATTTCGTCGTGAAACAATTCAGTTTCTTTTTGATGTATTGTTTGTACATATTCCAATCAGGTATACATATATATTTGGTGCAAACTATCAATAATTCTATTGATTTTAGGGAATTATACTAAAATTACGAAAGTCGCGATTGGAATTTTCAACGATAAATTTGATCCTTTGCAGGGGTCTTCCGAGAAGATTCCGTTGGAGGAAATCAATAAGGGATTTCTGAAATTAAGATTTTTCTATCCATTGCTTACTTTTCAATGGTGCCACATCTTGGCGTTGGTGAATTACGACGACAAAAAGTTTTGGTCCTCCACTTTGAGATTTGCTGAAATTAAAGATGCGCGGCTTCTCAAGAAACCATCAAGTGTTAATGATGATATCGTTCGAATCGGTTCCACTATAGTTTATGCAGATTTTATGGTAATCTTATATATTGTCAATCATAAATTTCTTTTAAGTTATTATATTTTAGAGCGAACATTTACAGGAGGACAAATTGTCTTGGTTCTTTAGAAACAATATAATACTGTTGGTAAATTTGTGCTCGGAGCCTCCGATTGCCGAGCTGATCAATTCTATGCATCGCAATTCCACCTCGAGTGGCTTGTTGATTCACTCAATCTCCACAAAATGCCTCGATATTGAAGAAGTAACCTTCATCATTGCTTTTTTGTGAATCAACATTAATACTTCTACTGTTCTCAGCCTCAGTTCAAGATGAACCTTTTGCAATGCGTGGAGGGTGCACACAAAGCTCAAACTGGAAATCTACTGATGATGTTAATACCAAGATTACTGGAATGCAGGCAGCTGGCAGTTTCTAGAAACGTTAGCAATTTGTTGTGCAGAAGGGTCGAACTTCTGTTAACAATGAATAAGAACGAGATTGTAGGACAATTGTCGAAAACTAATTTAAATGGATTGATGGATGTTTTGGTTTCTTTGAACTTGACAAAAAAGTAATTTTTATATAATTAATTCGTAGCTATTGTTATCATTTTTTTTTTTGTATTGTAGACACGAAATGCTTGTGGGTCTTTTGAATAAGTTAGCAACACTTTACTACGATTCCCCTCCTTTATGTTTAGACGAGAGGCGAGCAATCAATCTTAATTGCATCAAGAAACTCAATATTCACAAGGACTGGTATATATCGATAATCCAAGGTCGATGCGAAACTGCTAATAAAGGAGTGGAAACTGCAGAACTTCTAAGTAAACTTTCTTATGAAGATGTTAGTAATATTTTACGTTCGAAGGGATTTCCGAAATCTGTGTTAAAAGATTGTTTCAACTTTGGAGGCGAGGAGTTGCTGAAGGTCTGCAGCGATTATCTATTTGCAGAAATAAAGAGGATCAGGGAAGCAATGCCGACGCCTCATCAAGTAATTATTATTTTTTATTACGATGTGGATGATCTCATTGTCATGATTTGTTTAGGTTTTCTTAGTGGAAGGACGGACTTCTAGTGCCAATGAAACTAAGTATAAATCTAATCTGTGCGAATTGCTCGCGGATGAAACATTTTTGTCTTCTTTAAAGGATATTGTTTTGGCAGTTGATGTGTTCGTGAGGTGTAAAGACTCGGGAATACCAGAATCGAGTCACGAAGATTTCGCGATTTTCAGTGTTGTATGTCTTGAGCTAGCCGCGTTTTCTTACGAGAATGAAACGGGGATCGACGTCGGGTTTTTGAACGCTTGCATAAGATGCTGCGACGGTATTCTGAAGAATAATATTATGTGCGCGATTTTAGGCCAAGATACGCATCTTTCGCGGCTGTGTTCCGCGGTGAACTGTCTATATAAGTTAATTCATGAACTTCTAGTTAATTCCGAGCCTCTGCCTACGGTCTTCTCTGAAAGCTTGGAGGAGACACTCGACGATCCGGAAACCCGTGCAGCAGGTGAATGCGTGCACCGGATGTCCGTTCTTGTCACATGGTTGCAAAAGGTTCGCAACCTGGAAGTAGATATACCTAGGTATCTCTTCATTAGCTTAAGAAGTATTGTGATATCTTTGGGCAGATTGCCATTGGTGAACTCGTTTGTACTTACTCCGCCCACGGCGTGGAAGTGCGGGCTCTCCGTGAAAATGACCGGTTTGTACCGTACTCAGGTCCCGCCGCTTCCCATCGACTACCTCCAGGAAATCGAGATTTTAGAAGAATTTATATTTAGGATCACGTTGCTAGGTTGGTCTTCGCGGCAACAGTTCGAAGAAACATGGATGTGTCTCCTCAGCGTCCTCAGTGCCAATCCCAATAGCGACAGTTCAATTGAAGAGATCAACGCTATTACACATTCCACTAGTTTAGTAGTTCAAGCTATAACATCTCTCCTCCTGCAAACTCTATACTATCCCCGTCCAGGCAACAGTAACGTCTCCAAATTCATACACGTCTCCCGCGATCGCGAATTGCTGGATCATTCTACGAGTGTATTGAAACTGAAGGAGCTGCAAGCAAGATTCCAAGCGAAAATGATTGAGAAAATGAATGGAGACATTTACATACCTGACGTGTTCTCCAAGCCGAACCTGGAGAAGCAGACATTTGGCTACTCGTACGGGCAAGTTTCTGTGGAATATTTGCAGTTATCCATTAAGATCATAGAGCTTAAAGAGGATAGCGAAGCCGCCAAAGTTTATCTGCAACGAGAAAAGGTGCTCTCGGAAATCGGTTTGGATCTGAATTCGTGCTTACAATTCCTCCTTGACCTCTACTCTCAATGGATCAAATCCGAAGAGGTTCTGCCTTTGAGGCTACTCCAAGAAGTTGTTAAATCAATTCTCGCGATATCGGATCTTTTCAGTGAAAGATCAGAGTTCGTTTGGATGCTGGATATATTCTCTGAATTATCGAGAAACCACGCCGTAGAAGATGAAATCATTCATCAATATTTGGTTGTAGGAATCTGCAAGGCTGTATCGGTTTTATCACCGGTAACTAACATTCAACATATATTAATATGTTATAAAAATTGTGTAATTATTTTTAAGGACATGGAATATTTCGAGTTGGCCAAAAAAATCATCACGCAGTCTTTGAAAAGTGCGTTTATCTCGGCTAGGATTTCCAGTATCCACGGTTTACTCTACATCTTGCAAATGGGTACATCTCCAAAAACAACCACCGGTGCCATTTCCGAGGAAATGCAGATCTTTCTTCCAATAGCCATCGAGTATATCCAGTGCCATATAAATACAAACAATAAGTTAGTAAAAATCCAACTATTGCTATTTATTTACAATAATAATTTTGTTTCAGTATTTTGAATCAATCGCAAAACCACACTCTGCTGGTTTGGAGTTTAGCGTTTTACTTGATAGAGAATATTGACTTTCCGCTTTTGGATGCGGAATTTGTGAATAACGTTCTGTCCAACGTCTTGGCTTTGCTGTACGATGCGAAGACCGTTAAAAATATATACATTCCATTGTTAAAAGTATTATTTAACAAATTTAATTTGTGTTATTGTTTTGTATAAAAATGTGTTTGTTTTAGGGTTTGGAAAGGTTGATAATAAGTAAGAGGCTTCCAAAGAAAAACACGGGAATGATAATGCAGTTGGCTCTTGACAAGTTAAAGAATGCTAATCCTGTGGTGGCTCTTCCGGCTGCTCAACTTCTGTTTACTTCCATGTATATAGGTAAGAATAGTTGATTATTATGAATTCAATTACCTATTTCTTTTGCTTTAGAATATTCTGATCATTTGGAGAACTCTGATGTCTCCAATGGATTGGTTCAGAGTAACCCTGATCATTTAGTACAAACAATCGAAAAGATTTCCGTGGTCTTCGATAGAATTAAGAAGGGTTTTCCGTTTGAAGTTGAAATCTTGAGCGAATCGTTGTCGACACTCCTGAACGATTTCTTCTCGCCGGCCGACATCTTGACTAAAGTGATCAGCGAGTTTCTGTCGCCCCAGCAAAGGCATCCGATGCAAATGAGCAAAGTCGTTTTCAAGATCTTCGAGTACGCTATTGAACAGTCACAGCTGTCACTCCTCCAAGATTGGGTTGTGTTTAGTTTGACGAACTTTACGCAGTCGTTTTCGATCGGAATGGCGACTTGGTGTTTGACTTGCTTCTTCATCTCTGCAAGCACGAATGTCTGGCTTCGGAACATCTTTCCGTACGTGCAGAAACGCATCGGCAGATACGAGTACGAGGATAGGAAGATCCTCTGCATTGCAGGATCAGATTTCTACAATAACTTAAGTAACGACGGTCAGAGAAAAACGTTCGTGGATAGTCTGATGAAAGTCAAAGATCAGGTCGACATGCCTTTCAACGAACTGTTGGGTTGTTTATAAAGTTTGTCTAAACATTATTATTATTATTAAAATATTGACTAAGTATGAATGTGTAATAAATGTAAATATGATTAACGTGTTTTAAATAAAAGAATATAATTAATATATATAAAATAATAAAATCTTTCGATTTGAATCGTTGTGATTTATTAAAATTTTTCTTCATAAAATTGGGAAATTGAACTCCTGCCATTGCTGTTTGGCCAAAGTGAGCACGCACAAGAAGTAATTCCGACTTTGAGGATTCACGTAGAAGGTGAGCAAAGTTTCTTCGACGTTACCGCCGTTGGGGCTTCCGCTGGGACTGGAATCTGGGGAGATGCTCATCTCGGAATGTTCCGGACTTTGACTATCCGGTAATTGCATTAAACCTACAGTGCTACGCACATAATCCGCTACTCTGGCTCTCGAGACTGGATCCATTTCGACGATCTCATCATCTTCCGTCTTCAAACTCACTTTAGGTGGATCCAACTTCAAGCATAGCAACGTTGGGTCGTTGTTGTTTACTCCGGACAATTCGGATAAACTCAGCACCCTCTGCGTCATGTCTTCATCCACGTCGATGATCACCAAAGATTCTGTGGTCAGGATCAGAGCAACAGCATCGTATTGACTTATGTTCGTGATCGCAGTTGCTTCTGTCACGAACAAGATGTGTCCATCGGATAAAAATTTGTATTTATACTTCAACAAGGAATTCGGAGATGAGTAGACGTGATTCAGTACGGGATTCATCCTTGGTTCAGGCATTTTATTCCATCCTGCTCCTTGCAGCAAACCTTGACCAGTTAAGGCTATCAACTCGGCAGCTCCGCTCAACGGTTTCGTGAAGACACCAACAATTCCTTTCCCAACCCCAGCCACCAAGCTTCTAGGGGAAGCACCTTCGATCATCACAGATTGCAAAGGATGATGGGCGATTCCGCCCACAGCACCCAAAAGACTAATTCCTAATCCAGTCAAACCCTTAAAAATAAACCCCATTAAGTAAAAACTCTAAAATATCTTCTTCGTATTTACCTGCATAAAACCTTGCGTTACACCTTGTGGCCTCTGCCTGCGCGATTCTTCGGTTCTCTTTAAATGCTCCTCATCCAAAGTCAAGCGATCCAAATTCCTAGCTACACTAGATGCCAATTTCGTAACCGATTGTAAAGTTCCTGCTGTTACGTGTTTCATGAGACTGGCGGATCCGTACGAAACGCCGCGCAAGAAAGCCCAAGGCCCTTGTATCAAGCCGTAATATGGAAGACTAACGAAATCCCTCAACCCAGTGCCCATGGCGCGCGCCAAACCTCCTGGACTACCTAAAAGTTCCAAAGACCCAACTACCCAGCCGGCTCCAAAAATGGCTCCACTTAAGTAATGCATAGTCAACGCGTGACCCAGTCTATAATTCGTTGTGAACAAACGCTTCTTATCGAATTTCCCGAATTGCAGAGGCGATTGGTCCAAGGCTATGTAAATCTTTACAGAACAATGTATGGAGAGGAGCACTGACAGAGGTTCAATAGTAAAAGTGCGTAAGCTTAATGGCTTGGACAAAAGTCTCGAACCCCATATCAAGTGCTCCGGAATGATTACAGACATGGAATTCATCTTTCCGTAGCCTTTCGTTCGCGCTTTGGGCCACACCAACAATTTACTTGGCTGCAGCACAGACACGTACTCGAAGAGTTTGTACATGTACGTATCTTCGATGAAAGCCGAAATTGGTTCTATTTTAATTTTTATATCTCTAACACCTACAAACCCATTAAATTTATATTTTACATTAAAACCTAATTGTATTATAAATACCTGTAACGTTACACTGTTGCACAGGATCCTTCCAAGTCTCAACATTCAGATCCACCTTGATCAAACAATCGTTTTGAGCGGTATGAACTAATTGAATTATAGGCACGTTCAGACTCTTCAAGCAATTATTAATCTTCGCTTCTTGTCCTACCAATAAAACCGGAAAATCATATGAACCACGCGAATACAATTGATTGTCGACCTGCACATCGGATATGCTCAAACAAATTTGCGAAATCTGGAAAACAAATAATTTAATTTTTATATTCGGATAAATCTTTAATACTACTACCTCTGATCTCGTGACGGTCAAGGAAATATCGTCGCAGGTTAAACTAGCGACTTCAGTCTTTTCTACGCCTCCGTTTTCTATATCAGAGGTCAAAGTGAAGGTTATCCCTTTGATGAATACCAACACCCTCAGGGCTGTCCATTCCTTCAGATTGCTCTTCGCATTAACATCCTCGATTTCATTCAACGACTGACTCGGGTTCTTCTCCATAACCACAGGCATCACCTCTATATACTTCGGATGATGCTTACCTCCAGTGTTAACGGAACTCAAGGAAGAGTTACTGTCTTCCGCGCTGAAATATGTGGTGCTAGCCAACGTGGTGCAACTCTCAGATGCCTAAAATAATAATATTAGTTGTGGTCTAATAAATATAAAAGCTAATTACATCAATCTCAGTTGGAGATTCTTTTTTATTGAACAAATTTTGAGTGGTCTCCATTTCGTGCATGGACAAACGAACTCTTATATCTCTAGCGCTAATCTCAACCTAAAATATACTCCCAAATAATAAATGATAAACAAATAAATGATTGCTGCTTACCTGACTGACTGACTCTATGGTAACATGTATAGTGTGCACAGAATATTTAACCGAAATTCTAACATCTCCGTAAAATGGTATTCTCACAAATTGATCATTGAAATTCGTCACGTTTATGGGTGTAGACCACAAAAATCCCTGTGGATCACCTAAAAATAACAGAATTAATCTTTTCCTGATTCAAAGATTACAGCAACTTACTTTCTGGATCTGATGCGAAAACTAAAGTTTCATAGTAGTTTTGTTGCGGTAAATCCGGGAATTTTTCAGCAATCACAGGCATCGTGTAGTAACAAGATTTACCATCATCCACAGAACATATCCAACTGAAGTGCTCACAATCTGAAAAAATTGTGCCCTGTTCAGCACCAGATTGAGCGCAGTAGATTTTTGTACCGCTCTGATTTTCGACTAACAATTGTGGATTGAAGTCTTGGTGTAAAGAAATAAAGGTTTGTCCTTTATGTTCTTGCGAAATTAACACCACAGGCACCTTTAATACATGAACATTAATTTTATAATATTAAGAAATGTTAAGTAAATAACTCACGCTCATTTCTTCGGTTTGTATGGAAACACTACGGCGAACAAGCATTTTATCCACGCGAATTGGACAAGACCAATTGTGGGAACCGTTTGAAGCAAAGGAAACGTAAAGCGCATATTCTGATTGGTCTTCAGTATTGTTTCCCAAAGAGTACCATTGGATTACAGAGATTCCCGTATTACTAAAAATATCAGTATTAATTATGTTTTGGAAAATCGGTATGTTTAAGATTAAATTACTTTTTATTTAGGTGTGGCGAAAGCGTGAAAGCATGTTTTTCCAGATGCCTAGGCATATGCATATTGACTTGATGTTCGGGCACTGCAAAGCACATGACTTGAACTTGGAAATTCAAATGACTAGTAATCACGTGCGAAGAACTGACTCGCAACAATCGGATCTCGTTGGACATAGAACTTGCTATGGAAATTACGCATATCTAAAAAAAATATTTATCCATTTTCAAACGCATTTTATATATAGTTTTTTTCACTTACGTAAGGTTCACATTTGACTACGGATTTGATGCAACCTTCCAAAGGAATCGTTCCGGTGATTTGAGGCATGTAAAATGTTTGCGTCCAATTGGATTTGGCCAATTGTAAAGGCGGCGATAAATTCCACGTTCCACCTATGCCTACACCTATATAAAATGTTTCCTAAACCCAATAATATCGTTGTAATATATATAATTAATACACATTCTTAAGAAGTACCTCTAATTTGGGTGGTGTTACAATTCCGTAATGCCCAATGCGGCAAAGTTCTTTTTCATTCACTATTATAGCAATGGAACAGCCCAGAGTGTTAATTAACAGAGACCAAGGTATTAACTCTACCAATAAAGCGCTGGAATATTGGCACGCGTTTTGGTATCGAACCTTGAAATAAAAAGTAAATTGAAAATAGATTTTTGAAAAGGATTAACTGCACAAATTACCTGGACATGAGCCAAAGGTTGCTCCTCAATTGTAAACTCGACATCTTCCAATTCTTCCTTAAAATAAGGCCATTGCGATTTATCATACTTATTAATTACAGCCAGAATCTCGTTGATATCTTCCTTCTCTGATTTGCGGAAGAAGTTCTTCTGGTCCACTAAGCTATAGTTCAAGGGAACGTAAGGATTCGACGATGAAGTTGTAGTACTAAAAATAAATTGAATTAATTGGATAATTTCAAGAAGAAAAGTTAAATCATTTTACTCCAATTGGAAGGTCAGTTGATGAGAATGGTCTATGGTGCCGGGACAATACAGCTGCTGGTACTCTCCTAAGCCGCTAACTGTGGATTCTATGTGCACATTAAGAGTAGGAGTTTCGATTCGAACTTTTGCATTGATGGGCATATTTGAGCGAATCATGAAGAGAGGCCACAGCATTGCCATGATTTTCGTACCTTTCGCGAAATTCTGAACGACGATTCTACACCAAACGCTCAGAAACTGCCCTCTTTCTTGTAACGGCACTGCAAATAATTAAAAATATAATAATTAAATTGAGTATAATTAAAAATGAATACCTTTAACAAGCCAAGGTTGCGCGCATTTGGTATTCTCCATCAAAGGTATATCACCAGACCAAGCAGATTCCAGTCCGAAAAACCTCAAGCGCAAGAAGTATGCCTTGTTGGCATCGACGAGCATCGAAGGCGGTGTACTCTTACCGCGGATTATGTAACTTGGGGCGTGTCTGAAATCTTTGTCCTTATCTTTTTCTTCGGCTTCCAGAATTTTCATCTCCAAATGCTCAATTAAAGTGTTGCAAACAATAAGTTGACCTCCGAAGGCTACCATTTTCTGAGTGGCCGACAAAGATTTCACTGTAACCACGATCATCGAATTTCTGTTAGCTATCTTGCACATGAAGATGCCGTCCTGATCAATCCTGAACGGCTCAGACCAAGCCCAATGATTCTCCTCCAGAGCGACGCGGATCATCTGCTTGCATTTCTGCGATCTCCAAGCGTACAGATGGCAATACCTGGATGGTAAAAATATATCTTCAAGACCCACCTGTCCGAAACGTAAGTTAACATTGGTATCGTTGCAAATCACGTAATGGGTCATGATTATCAACTCGCGGTTGTCTTCTCCACTGAAGCAATCCGCCCAGTTTTGAGCGCTGACTCCAAGGGTGTGCGCTGCAGAAGCACCGAAATGCACGTGGATAGGTTTCGATATAAAATTGATGCCCATCGTTTTACTTAAGCTGATCTCCAGTTTAGACGTGAATGGTTCAACAAAAATCTGCTGCGTGAGGAATCCGTAATCCAAAATAAGACATTTTATAGACGCACTAACATCGAATACGGCCGTTTCAAACGCCCACGTCGCCAAGAAGGCATTAGCATTATCGATGGTTAAAGTTAAGAACGATTGGTATTCTGGAACCACAAAGTCTGGAGTGAAATTCTTTAGATCATCGTGAAGAGTGTAATTCAGATGCTTGTTGAAGTAGTTGTACAAGTTGATGCTTAAAGAAGTAACGTGTACAGCTACTGTTAATTCCGGTATTAAGTTTTTGTTGAAGTAGGAATCGACGCGGATGCACCCAGCCAAAGCTCTAGGTGATACTAAGACCCTCGAAGAATAATCTTTAATCTGCAATTTAAATATTTGATGAAATCTGCTATTTTCAGATAATAATATTACCGAAGGTGTTAAGACTACTCGCCAGGTACAGGCCACAGCTGGTTGTGGGTAATTCTTTGGCAACTCCAAATGGCACATGTCTGTTTCCGAAAGATAGAACTGCGTGTATGGTTGATAACAACCATGGCAGTCTGACCAATACTCTAAATGACAGAGAATTTGTTGGTCCTCTTCGCTTCCAGTTGTTATTTTAAACGGAACTGGAAATACGCGCACTTTAGTCAAAGCTCTTGGCTGAGGATACCTCCAAGCCATCGCAGATATATTTCGATTCCAAAACATCACTTGATAAGGCAACGGTAATTCATCCACATTATTACTAGTGGAATCGACGAACTGGAAAGCACCGGCTCTCAAATCATCTTTGTAATGCTGCTCTTTCTCCCCGACCGGCACCTTTTTACTCTCAATTTTTATTGGCACCGATGTTGTTTTAGTGAAATTGCTACAAAACTCCGTCAACTCTCTTTGCATCTCATCCAAAGATTGAATCTTATCCGGACTCACATCCAACATTATACAATCGCTTTCTATGGAGACTTGCAGTTGAGGATTAGAGTTCACACTCTGCCAGCTCTCCCAAAACATGGAAAACTCAAAAACTACATTCCAAGGGTTTAACAGCAATTTTGTTTCACCATCTCTGCACACGCCAAGTGTGACGCAATCCAAGCTCAGAAAGTCCAGAAGCTTCTCGGGACGATTCGATAAAGTTAAATGGTTGTACAGTTTTTGGAAGCTCAGTCGTACTTCAAAATGCTTGGCTGTTTGAACAGCTAAAATCATTTGAGACATATTGATCGTGAATTGGGTAATGCCGAAAAATTTATCCTTAATTTCTTTGAATTTTGAGTAATGCTCCATGGATCTTTGCGGTTCGGGTTTCTTAATCTTTATCTCACGCCGGATTATGCTTCGGTTATTCTTGAAGTTCTCTATGATTCTCTCTTGGATGTGTAAGAGATACATCCATCGCGGAATTGAGCAAAGTATCTTCGTGGGTTTCGCTAAATCAATTTCTAGAGTTGCTGTTTTACCCATACTTTTCGTCCATTTTAGAGTAAAGAAAGCTGGTAGGATTCCTGTATCCGGGTTTGGTGTTCCCGATTTGGTTTCCAGAAGTTTTATAGGAAAATCTTCTTCGGTTATGGTACCTTTCATGATGCGATGATCCGGACCACCAATTTTTATACCTAGATCATAACATGTAACTTGTACCTTCTTCCCAATCTGGGTATCGGATAAAAATGCATTTGGTTGTATAATATTTAAGAATATTAGAGGAGTGAACATTTCAACGTTCGGTCTTTCATCTATACTTCCTTCATCTGAAGCCTCATATCCATGCTCAGTTTCAGACTGCAAATTTAAAAAAAAATCATAAATATAAGTCAAAAAATAAAATAATTAAACTCACTTCGTACGCAGTTCTAACAGCGTTTTTCTTCTCGATTTCGTAGAGAACAAACGAAAATTTTCCGCCAGCTACCAAAACATCTAAAGGAATATACTGTTGCGTCTGTTCAGCCTTTATACTCGCCGATTTTTCGCTAACATCGCTCATCTTTCTCAAAAAAGAACTTTCCTGAAATCCGAACATATAAATCTCTCTAGAAAACTAAATTTTCGCATTACCTTAGTTTTGATAGAATAATTTGTACTACGAATATCGGACGTTTCTATGCCTGAATCTCTCATGTAATCATGCGTTTCCAGCACTTCTTCGCTTTTCTCCAATTGTATATAAGGGAAAAACACTTTAGGTCTCTTTTTCGTGCACTTATTTGAATTGGTTAATTCAACCGCATAAGACGCTTCATTTATGAGAGCGTCCAACAACTTAATTTGACTCAAGGATATAGTTAACATTATATCAGAAGTAAAATTAATCTCCATGGAATGTCCACAAATCACATCGCGTTTGTAGATCATTGCTGGTGCAGCAACTACAGAAACATCGAAACTAAAAAAAACGTGTTAGTTACAAATGGATTGTAATAGTTTAAAAGACTTACTTCCTTATAATGGGATACAAATGGCCATCTGGGCTATTCTTTAATTTAGCTCTACCCATATTGTTCCATTCCAAAGCTGGATTTTCGCTCATCGTTCGTAAAACAGTGACAGTTTTTCCAAAGGATTTAAAGTTCTGCTTGATTTCCGACCATGCTCCAGTATGCATCGATATACCTAATATATCCAATTGGTATTGACGATCCTCAACATCACTTCCTGGAACGTTTAAGATTCTAGCTTGTGCTGCTTGCTGGTAAATATCCGGTCTGCAAGGTGTTCTGCAAATGGGATTAACGGCAGTTGGGGTCAGATTAATCGCTTTGATATCAAATATTGTTGCATTCTGCCGTGCATTCTGGTTGCCAAGTTCAACAGAAGGCATGATTACACGAAAATCGTGGAATTCCAAGTATGTCAAAGGTAATGAGCGGTTGCTCCAATTGGAATTAGATTTAACCACTTTTTTGGGTTTGGATGGCAAAGTTGGGATTTGCAGTAGAGGCTCTAAAACCAAGAAGTAATTTTTCAGAGTAGCTGGTGAAATAAGTATATCTATTGGTTGTAGACTCAACACAATTTCAGTTATAAATCGTGAATGAACTTTACGCGTTTCTTCTTTATCTTCCTGCAAAAATAACATTATTAGATTTGAATTTAATTAACAAATTTAGCACGTACAGTTTGTTTGTTCTTTTTTGCAGTTCCCCACAAATTATGGGTGTGCTGACAACTCGCTCTCGTTATGGTGATGTTAGCAAAACTCGTGTCTTCTTGTCTTTCAGACTTCAGATGTTCATCGTTCGCTTGCATCACAAAACCCAAAAATTCACCTGGTTTCCATTTTTGGTTTTCCCTTTTAACAAATCAAAAATATTATAAAATTTACAGTTTAGTTATTTACTTAATATTTACTTGACATAATGCATTATACTAGCAGATCCAATTTTGCTTTTAACTTTGAGATAGACGCTTTGAAAGTCGAGGGAGCTAACAATATCTTCAGCATCAAGAACAAACTTCAAATTAGGCCTCTTCTTGTAAACGTTCTCTTTAATATCCTTTGAGTCATGAGCCAACAGCTCCAGGCTAAACTTGGCGATGGTGCATTGAATCCAAGCTGTTAATTTGATGTTCTCATTGTCCAATTTATCTGTGTTCACTCGAGCTGTCTTTTCGCTCATTGTTTCCACTGTACTTTCCTTCATCAATGTCGGCGATAGGTTCGAGTTATTACTAGCTGATATTTGCATTGCTGGTTCGCTTCTAGCACTCTCCTGCTGTTCAGGCATTACATTATATAATACTTCAAATAATCCATGTGCAATACTTGCAATTAAACACACCTAAAAGGATAAATCAATGTAATATAGCAAACAAAAGAAAAGTATATAAATTACTTGTAATTCCGATATTGATATCACAATTGGAGTCATATCGATGTGAATGCAAACACCTAAACTATCGATGTCGTGCTTACTGGTATTAAGATTCAACATAGGAAGACTTTGGGATTCGTTTTCGGGTCTATGGTGCTTCGTGGATAAACCCACCGTTGCTGTTATCACCACAGGCGAAAGACACACTACCTTTTCACCATTTTGCCACGTGTAGCAACAAAAATCGGAAATTATTATGTTCCATGGAAAGCTAGATCTACCTAGGATCATAACATGTTTACATTACATAATCAATTAAGTATGAATTTAAATGTAATTACTTTTAGTCCAAACAGTTTCCGGCATTATCACAGGCATAGCGTTCATGTATCGAATAAGATTTTCTTTGCAGGATGAACTTCGAATAACAGCAGATGGTAAAGTCACTACGAAAATATCTGAGGGATATTCCTTCCTCATTGCTTCATCGATTGCTTGTTGAATTCCTAAAAATATATATAATTTAAATTTTGGTTTAGTTTTAAAAAAAAAACTTACCTTGAGATCCTACAGCGGACAACGATTTGACTGGAAAATAAATCGTGCATTGCGATATATCGCCATACAACAGCAGACCTTTCCAAACATCGAACCACTTTTTAAGAAAGTCGTAGGTCTTCTCCTGAAACTGTTTTTAAATGTTAAAACCATATTAAACTTTATACAAATTAATAGATTACATCAATGACGCTCTCGTCGTCTTTACTAGTTGTAGCTTGCATTTTTTGAGGTATAGTGACTTGGTCGAGACTACTGTGAATGGATTCATAAGGTGTCCTGGCTCTTCTAGGAGTCTCATAAGCACTAGCATCAGAAAAACTTCGACTCAATTTTCTCTGACTCGAATCGAAAATCACTTCTGTTTTGGTGTGCACAATCCTAGGTGTATACAGTAGCCACTTGCACATCAAAGGATCCAAACAGATTTTGATTTCGCGCAAGTTAAACATCAACACTGGAGGATGACACTGTTTCTCGGCATCAATAGGAAATTGAATTGTTGCATTCAATAAAGGTTGATCGTTATTGTAATCATCCTTATACTCGGGCCCGGAGAAAACCAATACTTGTTGAATCTCGCTGGATAAATAATAATTTGAGTTTATCATAGTATCGTTGGAATCTCGACGTGACATTGGTTCAAAGACGAATGCCTTGATGGATCCTAAGCTACCATCCCAAGTAATTGTCGTATTAGTTTTGACTTTCTTAAAGTTGATGGCTTCCACGCAAAACTCCAAATAAACGAATCCGGAATCTTTGACGGCATCTTGCATTATTGAGCTATGGATAATAGTGGTTTGGGAATCCTCGCAGTCCATTTTCATCAGTTTATCGATGATTTGCGCGACCAACGCTATTTTCGGATTGGTCCCCGTTATAGTTATACCTTCTGCTCAAATTAAAAAATAATAATATATTTCAATTTAAAGATATTTGATAAATTACCAGATTCGAAGCTAAATTGTTGATGTGGAATATCTGGGTTGATCCAATACTGAGGCATTAGAATAGTCCTGCTTTGGAAAGACGCGTAGCTTGGAGTCATGATGGTAAATTGCATATTGGAAACGATCAAACGACTGCTGAATGCGCTTATTTTCAATGTTAAATCCGTGTGGCAAGCGTCGAACATTTGCTGAGGAGGTTCAGGTAATTGGCAAGTTGTACGCAGCAAACGCTTGATGTACATGGGATTGGATATACGTAAATCGATGCATTGGCATTGTAAAGTGATTTTTGGCAGGTCGACTTGTTGAGAAGGAGTTGGATTTATCACAGACGTTTTCTAAAAGAACAAATTGATTAAATTACTAATTAGAAGTTTGATGCAAAATATTACTTTTCTCTTTTTGAATAGATATCCTTTAGTTGCCTGGAAGTACGGATGATCCATCAATTGGAATTCTATAACCGGAGCCAGCATAGTATAACGGACAACCCTAGTTGGTATATTCTCATTCAACGCGTCATAATCATCAGCAGCTGGTGGCTGCAACTCAGTCAGTACTGGTTCCGGCTTGGGAATACTATAAGGCGTGTAATCGTAGGCGGAAGCCGCCGCTTGTAAACTACTTAATCTATGCAGCAAACCCGAACAGATTCGCAGCTTCAAAGGCCCAACCATGAATCGAAGCATAGCCTTTTCCGAATAATTACTAAAATCATTCAAAATATAATTAATCCATCGCCGTCGATATTTAAACAATCAAACCTATATTCTAAGTCGCTCCCCAATTCGGAAAGATTCTCGCTGGCCGTATCATCGGGAACATCCAATTTATAAATGTAATCCACGGCAAAAGCTGCCGATCTACCCAAGAGCGAGGTCTCAGTATGCGTCTCCAGATGTGTATCCCAATCCATATTATATATTTTATTCTGTCCCTTATTTTCAACAGCCTCTGCGTCGAAAAGGGAATCGCTTTTGTGCACATCCGACACCCAACCAGCCTTCAGATATTCAGTTGTCGCAGTCCCATCGAAAACATCTTGCACCGAACAACTGCAGTGACCAATGGGCAGCAACACCATTTGACTAACGCCCATACCAACGTGCACCCAAACCCTTCCCACCGTAATAGATTCCATGAAAATTCCTTGCAAACGCAATGTCAGCAAAGGCCAATGTTTCAGTTTCTTTTGCGTATAGTAATTTCCTTTTTCGTTACTAGATTCAGACACCTACAACACCAATTAAATTACAACATTTTAATGATAATTTAATTAAATCACCTTAAATGTTAGTGAAGCATTATCAACGTAGAAGCTGATTTGTGTTACGTGACCGATAGTAGCGATTTGTTGCGTGATATCCCAATCATCCCAATTGGTAGGTAATACCGATGGTAAGAAAGACCATGCCCATCCAGCCAACGACTGTTTATCTTGCGTGTATTCAGCTGCAAAGAAATCCTGTTTAAATGTTCTTTAAGAAAAATTCAAATTTATACCATTTGGTTCTGTGACGTTATCTGCAGTATCTTTATTTACTTCAATTTCGGATTTTAGCTCCTTCTGATGCAAAGCTTGTAACAGATGTATAAGCCGCAGCAGCATCGGAATTTGCTGTTCCGTCATGCTAAATTCCATCCTGCAAATGATAATTATAAATCAAATATAAATCCGTTGCGTAATCTTACGAATTGCAATAGATATCCAAACGCGTCGTCGAAGCCTTCTTAAGTGAAGCTACATAGTAAGTTCTTAGTAAATGGATAACCATAGAGCAGCGATAGAGCATAGGTTCTTGGTAGACATCGATCTTCCCCGAGGCATTCCTCTTGTCCAAACAAACAGTTAAATCGTTCACAGCAATCACCTTCCTTATAACAACATGCGATTGCGATACATCTGTATAAGCTGGTTCCCATTTTTCATTGGCTGATTCAAATGTTAAGAGTTTAACATTCATGGATAGTACAATATCCTCCTCCACATACTTCAAGATCAAATTATTACAGTAAATCCTTATATTACTGACTATCTTATTAATCAAATTCTGCACATAGCTGGGAGGTGTCTCAATGTTTTGTCTACAAATAACAATAGTTAATTCCAAAATAGATCTAACAGTTTAAATAATAAACCTTTTATTCTGATTTTTCTTCTGCTTATCCTTTGCCTGACCATTATCCCTTGCACTTTCTGCGCCTCTTAATTTTAAAATACATTCTATAAATGTAAGAAATCAATTAATTGTAAATGACTACAAGTAATCAAATAATAAATACCTATAGTGTTTATTGTGATTGTAATTGGTTCTGATGCCAATTTTGTCCATGGCACATGGATCAACAGTTCATGGATGTGTCCAGAGACAAAGCTAAATGGCAATTGAAGTTCCTGCTCGAGAACCTCCAGTCTTAAGTCTAGGTTGTGGAACGATGCATCTCCACCCCACAAAGAGACCTAAAGCATTACAATATGCAGTGCATGTTGTGATGACAAATCAAGCACTTACCTGAGAATCCTCAGGCCTGAAATTTTTAATATACTTGTCAACATAGCTTAGTAGTATTGGTGTGATGTAGGATTCGATTTTAAACATATTAAGACCATAGCATGTTCGTAATCAACTGAAATTAATGGTATTTACATTATTTGTTGTTTCTTTGTTCTTGTTGCAGTCATTTTATTTACCAAGCAGATTATGTATGCTGATGCAGATAATCCTTGCAACTAGAGATCTAATTTAGCCATGTTTCTCTCTCCAAGCGATTCCGGATTATAAATTAATTGTAAATAAAAATAATAAATACACAGGGACGAAAACACCTGATTTGAAACCACTTGGCAGTCGGACTACCAACTTTGGAGCATTTGGAGATTTGTAGAGTGTAGCCAACTTCAGTTGCTTGGATGGTATTTAAATGAAGATTTAAATTATTAACAAAATTATGTGTGTGTAGAATTTTAAATTCCAATTAAGAATGGAATGTCCTTTATTTAATATTTTAAAATACATTTCTTAAATAGCAACCTAAAATGGTATACCAGGAGGTCATGAAGACAAAGAAGTGGCCTGTACGACTGCTCATTCGGAATTTAAAGAATTTCTCCTGTTAAAATAAACTAATTGGAATTTATAAAACTTTAACATATTGTTTTCTTATTGTATCTACATTAAAAACTCAAACTATTGCTATAGAAAAATTTTGGTTTGTTTTCCTAACTGAAAGATTATTTTCAGCACCATCTCTTGTATCCATTTTCAAGCCTATAGTTCAGGCAATGTTGCGCTGATAAAATTTGAAATTTTATATAAAGCTTTAATTGTAAACTTTACTATTAAACTTTTAATTACTTATAGCTACGATTTTATTGAATATAAAATATTATGATTGATTAATTTATCTATGAGTAAATTTAAATAATATTTTTAATATTTTAGTTATAAAATGTGATAGTACATTATTCAATTATCGTCAACTTTATGTGCATAGTTACATAATTGTTGATCTCATCATCATTATTTTTTAAATTAAGTAAGTTGAAGTTATTGCAGCTGTTAACTAACTTCACGTAAGTGAGATAACCTATTTAAAATTTACAGCAAAATTACTTTGATATATTTTTAAGTAATTTTATCGTTTTAGTAATTAAGCAAACTCATCAGCTCGATCATGGCAAGTCTGATTGGAAACCTTTTAAGAAACGTAAGTGTCATGGCTTTAAAACAAAACCAACTACAGTATTACATTAAACTTAAATTGATCTTGTAGACTCCTAAAGTGATCAGAGCTACTTCAGCTTTGAAAAATACCAATGTTCTTCAATCCTTTACCAATGGAGTGCTCTTGAGGAACTTCCAGACTGGCAAGTGATTTTGGGAAATGTTAACAAATTAATAGAGGTTTTACAATGATTTGTTTCTGTGTGTTTAGGCTCTGTCTTGGGTGGTCCAAGGGTACAATGCCCAGCTCCTGACTTCAAAGGTATGGCTGTCATCGGTGATGAATTCAAAGAGATCAAGCTCTCCGATTACAAAGGCAAATATCTTGTTTTGGTTTTCTATCCATTGGATTTGTAAGTATTTTTAATATTGATCTTGTTATGTAACATATAAGGAAGCATAACTGATAACACTAATAGTCAATGTCATGTTAAAGTAATCATTCTGTTCTTAAAATAATCCATACTTGTTTAAAATTGATTTTTATTTTTGTTATATTTTTAGCACATTTGTTTGTCCAACGGAATTGATCGCATTTCACGATAGGATTGAAGATTTTAAGAAAATGAACGCCGAAGTAATTGGAATTTCCGTCGATTCTCATTACACCCATTTGGGATGGAAAAATACCAAGAAAGAGGTAAATTCTGTTGTTTTCATACAAATACGTATTGAAATTGTGTATTTTGTATAATGATTTAGGATGGAGGTTTGGGTCCAATCAGTTATCCACTGCTTTCCGATTTGAAGAAGAATATTGCCAGGGACTACGAGGTTCTGATTGAAGAAGAAGGCATAGCGCTGCGCGGTTTGTTCATCATCGATGGTAAAGGTATCTTGAGACAGATGACTGTAAACGATTTACCGGTTGGAAGGTCTGTGGATGAGACCCTCAGGTTGATCGAAGCGTTCCAATTCGTGGAGAAACATGGAGAAGGTTGTTTAACTCAACATTCAAATAACATTTATTAATCATCCTGTTAATTGCAGTTTGCCCAGCTAATTGGCATAAGGGAAGCAAGACCATCAAACCAGATCCAAAGGGTTCCAAGGAATACTTTTCCAGCCCGAAGAATTGAAGTGATACCGGTCGCATGAATGGGTGTATTATTAATGGTGTAATTTGTTCGAATAAAGCATATTGATGCAGTTTCGCAGCGCATTCATTTGTACTGATTATTGCCATTTAACCATGACAAATTCGGTACCTCAACCCTCCCATACCAATTTTTTCCCGCAGCTCCGCGCACAATTAATAAAAATTATGTTTATTTTATTGCTGACACGAAACTAATGAAATCCATTTTTATTAATCTATTTATATTCATATTTGTTTGAGTTTATTTCATGTTGTTCGTGTTTAAACAGACAGTTTTTCGGGTATTCAACAATTTTAACGATTCATCAAAACGATTTTATCATTAATTAAGTTAACTTTTTTTAATTGACTAAAGTTCTTAATAATACTAATTTAAATAATATAGAGGAAATCGTGAAGCCTACTTTTTTTTAACAGTTAATAATTAAAAAAATGATGTTATAAAGTTTTTATTAATTTAATTGATGAAATTTTTAAATGTTATATAACAATTGCGAATGTTGAATATGAATTTAGTAAATATAAGTTTGAATAGAGTAAAATTGGAGGTTTTAGAAGTTGAGCTAGTTTTAACCGGAGGCGGTACTTTTTAAGCGCAACATATTCATTACAGCGCGACGAGCCACCGTTAAATTTTAACAAGAAGAATCATTAAGAAAACAAACTGCTTCTCTTACACCGGCGAAACGGTGATTGCACTTCGTCGGAAGTTTAATGCACGCGGAAGAAGTTCAATGCTGAAAGGAGGGATCATATCAAGTAATTGTTTTTGGCCCCTGCCGCTGCAGAAGCTGCTTCCATTTCTCGTTTCCCTTTTCGTCTGCGCCCTCGCTCCGCCTGGGGGTGGTTGTGGTGTTGGTGGATGGATGGAAAGAGCGTAGGGAACGGTAGAAGGGAAGTTATTAAAGGTAAAACGGCCGGTGTGCAAACTGAACGAACCGCGAAATAATATGGCCTGAGAGTTTATCCGGCCAATCTCGAGGGGCCCATTCCGTCCCGCGAAATCGTAATGCATTTTCCTTATATACAGTGCTTTTTATTATCTTCTATCGCGCGCCGGTTTCACATTGGTAAAGGGAAAAGGGCGACAATCTCGAATATTGTACGTAAGGGAGGCCGGAGCCGGTATAAAACGCCTCGTAAAATACCGGTCCGCGCCAGCGCCATCCGCACACTTTTTTTTATTTATTTTCCATTCCATCATCGTCCTCCATCCTTCCACCATCCATTTTTCCACTGTTCCTCTTAACATTGCTTTTTTTTTACTTCTTTTGTGACAACCAATTATTATCATCCTCATTTATCAATTTGCCACTCGAGACGGACATCAGCTTGTTCAATCTTTTAATCCTTAACTTTAGATGTTATATTCTCCAATAAATCCAACCCTTATCCAGTATCCAGATAATTACAAACATTTATAGTCATTAAATCTGATCATTTATTTATAAAATCTAATCTATGTTTTATATTGTAAATAAAATATAACGTTAAATAAAAATGTGTATGTTTCGTTCTGTGTAAGGTAAAAATCGATTAAATGGCGATTTCCGGTTTTCCGGAAACCATGGTTGCGGTGGAGGCAGCGGCGGCGGCGTAAAGTGTGAGCGACCGCATCGTACCCCAGTGGCCAATAAATTAATCAGTGATGCCAGTTCGTATCTCTACTGGGGTGGTAACCACCCCATTTATATATACTTCTCTCTATATCTCAATACAGCCATCGTTTCCGATCCTGCAAAACGCCAAAGCTCACACACATATACATAGACTTCGAACACAACCCACCGAATATTGCCAAATAAATCATTTAGTTCCATTTGTCCATCAAAAAAAAGAAGCTATATTCTTCCCACCTCTCCTAACTTACTTTTCGTTACAACAGCTTTCAAAACTTAAGTTTCTAAACTCTAAACACACAGCATAACCGTCCATGAAAATAAATTCTGCAGTTTATATTTGTTTTTCCTTATTTTTTCACGAAAAACCTTTTAATTTACTATATTTACAAATACAAATAATACTAACATAAATAAGTAAATGTTAATAATTATAATTTCAAATCCATGCCGAGGTTTGTCTGTTATACAATCATTGAATGTTCCAATGGTTTATATCAATTTTATGACTTCATTGTTGAATATTTATCATTGAATAATGTATTACAGTCTTTTTTCAATGATGGCTGTAGTTAATCTTACAAACTTTTATAGAAGATTCTTAGAATAATTAATTGTTATTTATTACAATTCCAAAGGATTTTCAATTGCTTGGTAATTCCTTGCAATGTTTAATTTCAAATAGACATTTTACTGTAGTTATGCTATACTTATGGTATGATTAGGATTAAGTAATAACTCTTTCATGGTGTCTACTAAAATTGCATTAAGGGCGGCGCATTCCAATGAACTCTGGTTATGCAGGTGGGAAAAGGTATAAATCTGGGTGTGAGATTCAAGTGTATTTAATGGTATTGTTTATTGGCGGATGTCGCGCGGAGTATGAGCGAGTCCTTGCTCTCTTTACACCCTCGTCGTCGATGGTTTTGGTGCGCCCGGAGAGCGGCAGGACATGTCGATGGCAAGCTGTAAATCGTGCGCCGATGTGCCGTAAATCGTGATGGATTATCCTCCTGTCACAGACAACACTCGGCCCGGCTAAAACATTGACATCCCTGTTAAAACCGATGCCATATATCAGCGGATTAAACAGAGGCGAACGGGGAAAGAGAAAAAAAAATAACGGAAGAGAAAAATAAACCTCCTCTGCAGGAAAACCACACAAGAGTTGAAAACTGGAGACTTTTATATATCACTTTATTCTATTATAAAATATTTCTCGAGCATCGATTTTTCCGAAAGGCGAGGATGGAGAAGGTAAAGTAAGTAAGCAGGAGTAAATGTCTTCGGAAAGTTCGCTTTGGGGCCGGTCTCGAATCAACACTAAACGTCAAATAAAAGTCTATCGAAGATAATAGAAAGCCTCGCAACTTTTCTCTCTTGCTTTCCTGAAGAAAAAAATAATAATAATAATAATCGAAGCAAACCCTGATCGAACGTCAGTTGTGCTGTTGTTTATTTTTGTTTGCTTTACAAATGTTGAAATGTTCGAGTACATCCTGATTGGCAGCTTATACATTTTCGCTTATTTTTACACCGATTACCTAATCCGTTTCCCGTACTTACACAAGGGTTAATCATGGTAACTCCGCATTCGTATCGCACGGAGCACACCGAAACGCAAACCACCAACCAAAATTACGGGGAATACTTTGCCATCAAGTCCAGCAAGAAGATCAAGATTCAACCGGATCTGCGCAAAGTCTTGCAATACGTGGACTCGAACCATTTATCCTTCCTCGATGATCTCCAAGAAGCCATCGAGATCAAGTCGATCTCAGGAGACATCAAATACAGAGACGACTTAATCAAAATGGTAAAGTTCATCGAGGGATGGATGGTTAAGATGGGCGCTAAATACGAGTGCTTCTACGTAGGTTATCATAATTTGGGAGGTAAAAAAGTCAGGCTACCGCCAATCATCTTGGGCACTGTTAAAGCCCCAGGAACTAAAAAGAAAACTGTAAGTAATATTTAATCCATAAATCAATCACTGTTTATCCTTGTTTTAGATTTGCGTCTACGGGAATATAGATATAAAGAATCCGAATGTTGTTAACTGGCGCACGGATCCTTGGAAGGTCGATCATAACAACAAGACCATCTACGGATGCGGAGTGGCTCAAGGAAAAGGACCTTTGATTAGCTGGTTCCATACTATAATGGCCATCAAACATCAAGAACTTCAATTGCCTGTAAACATTAAGTTCATCATTGAATCAATGTATCATCAGAACAGCGAAGGCATGAAGGATTTCCTGATGACTCAAAAGCAAGAATTCTTGAGCGATATAGATTATGTGGTGGTATGCGATTCCGAATGGTTGGGCGACAAATATCCTTGCGTATCTTACGGTTGCGTCGGTATGCAGTTACACAATTAACAATATTGCGAATTCGATTTATTTAATTCTTCAAGGATTTATACATTACGACGTGACTGTGACCAAGGTGGAAGGGTCGAAATCGGAGCCTAAAGATGATTTGGTGAGAATTTTCGAGAAGATCGCCAAGGGTGACAAAGTTTTGATACCTGATCTCGACAAGCACGTGATTCAAATTACGCCCGACGAAGAGCAGATGTTTGAGAAAATCCACTTCCACGTGGAGGACGTCAGGTTTTTAAAAGCTGATTTATATCATTGTTTCTATTGATACGTTTTTTTTTAAATCTTAATTAGACACTTGCTGCCGCCGGATTGGCAGAATTGGGATAAAATCAAACTCTTGATGCACTATTGGCGTATGCCCACGATCTTCGTCGACGATATTGAACAGTGCATCTGCGAGAAGAAGGATTTCAGCAAGATGAAGAGGAAGTTTGTGCTTAAGATTGTTCCACGACAGACGTACGATAACTGCCACGAGCAAGTTGTGGATTACATTAAGTCAGTTGCCAAAGATTTGGATATTACGAACACCGTCGAAGTAGATTTGATTTCGTCGAGTCGTCCGTGGTTGGAGGATTGCGCTACAGTTAATTACGAAGCTGCAAGAAGGGCTACTATCCAGGTTTTACTTCAATTTAATAATTACATTTTATAATTAATTATTTTTTCAATTAGATTTACAAGGAAGATCCTAGTATGATCAGGGAAGACAGGGACAGCACTAGCATTAACATCTTGGAGATGATTGGGAAGAGTATACTTTTGCTGCCGCTCGTGCAGAAGGGTGGAAACGGACCGGACAACGAATGCATCTTAGCAAGAAACTTCTACGAAGGCACCAAACTCATTGGGGCTTATCTCTTTCAGTTGGCGATGCTCACAAAGTGATAATACTTATTTTATATACTGGATTTTAATTATACTATTATATTAACTAAAACGATCTCTGTTAATTATCTGTCCTAACTGACCAATGATTAATTATGTAATACGATTAGTAGAAACGCTACTATTAATTATCGAAGAGCTCGTTTATAGTGAAGTTTAAGTACCACATTTTCTTTTTATGGTCATCTTTGAACTTCAAGGTGTAGAGTTAACTTAATTTATTATAATTTCTTGAAAGATATGAAACGTTAAAGTCACGTCAAAAAGATGTGTATAAATTTCTATGTATTTCTTAGGATTAAGTTGGAAAGCAGCGGTAGTTGGTTGGATAACCGAATTGCGTATACATATGAAATATATACGCACGTATATAATGGCGTACATACATTTTTACTCCGGTTGTATTAAAGCCCGGATAATGCTCCATCATAATAATAAAAGCCGGGAGGAAAAATATATGCGAACGGGACGACCGCGGCTATATTTTTATTAATTTTTAGTCCATTTTTAACGCTAATGGTCCGAATAAATGCGCTGCTAAAATAAATGACCATAATAATATTTACTTAACTGATGTTACAAACACACTCCAGCACAAACAAACACACACACACGTCGTTTGGCCACATTTTTTTTTATACATATACACATACACGAAATTCGCCACCCCCGAAGCTCTCTTTTCACGTGTGCCGCGCCCAAAAACAAACGGGAAATTTCGTCGCCTCTCGGATTTTTCTAAATTTTATTTTCCATAATTTTTATTTCCCCCAATTCATCATAATTTATTGCTCCATCCTGTGAAAACACACAGAAAATAAATCACTCTGTAATCTCATGAAGATTTCAATGTTAAATCAAAAATTTTGTATGAAAATTCAATTTTAAAATGTTAACAAAATAATCATATTTACTAATATTTTTTAGCAATATTATGATTGCCTTGTTTACAAATAAAATTTACATGTTTTTTTTTAAATACATTTTTATAATGAAAAGCTTTCAATTATTAATTGAGATAATTGACTGATTAATATTTGTATTTAACTAAATTAAGTGTCAATGAAAATATTAAACAATTTGTTTAATTATTAACAGTTAAGCATTAAAACGATTTCCTCATTTTGCGAATGTCTGTAATTATTTTATTTCATTTAACATCAAGTGGATGTTTGAGAGAGAGATGGACGGAATTAATGCATTATTAACGGGGCAGTTTTAAAACTGTATTTAATTTCGCTTCGTCCTTTGTGGATGGAGTCGGTCGTCTGCAAGGAGTGTAATAATAATTGCGGTATGGAAAAGAAGGAGAGTGTATTAGGAGTGACATGTATGGTATCGTAATCCGTTGGCTGTCTAGTGGAGAGTAATGAGAGTGATGCGACCACCCTGCGTATATTTAAGCCCCCGATGGGGGAGTTAATCGGAAAACCGGTGGGGTTGGCGCCCATTGAAGTCTTTAATAGAGGAGCACAGATTAATCCGGCAGACCTTCGGTGATCTTTCTTTTAATGCCACCAGGCCTTTCCATTAAACAAGACTACATTAACACACCGGGGACCTTCCATTCTCCTGCACTCCTATTATATACAGGGTGAATCTTCACTTTTGCTACTACCATTCCACATGCATCATAAAACATGTATCTGTAATGCACTACATAATTTAAGATATTATGTTAGTAGTTGCTTATCTACATTACACACTGCTGTGTCCAACCGTTATTATTACAATTATTATTGTTAATATAACGAATTAGAGATATCTCTTAGTCGTCTTATTATATAAACATATACATAAGCATAAAGGAATCTTCACCGTGAGACCGATTGTAACATTTCTTCCTATTTTCAACTGAGAAATCAGACGCAGAATCCGCATAGGAGCAGTGACCTGAAGCATCTTATCAAAACTGTGTCCTAATCCCTCCTGATTAGTTAATTTTATAAGTAGAATAAGTAATTTGTAATTAGTCTTAGACCTATCACACATTAAAGCATATTTTAATAATAAACTACAATTAAAACTCGTTGGATTCATTATTTATCAAACAGAAGACAACAGAAGAAGTGTTAGTATCCAGAAAACCATCCCTGGGACACGACAATACACCTGAATCAATGCATCAAATTACATGAAGAAGCCAAAATTGAAATACTTGTCCAATTATTTGCTAAGTACCTGTCAATTTACATAGTACTTGTGCAAATAATTGTAGAAATCCGAATTACTTTTATTTGAGTTACATTGATAGTTTCACCCTGTATACTCGAGTACACTCAATAAGCACTTCTTTCCTTGCAATCTGCTCGCTCAAATCGATTATTTCAACCTCTCGGCTTCTTTATTATTATTTTTTTTATCCCTCTCCCAACTTACATTTTCTTCCTCTTGCACTTATTTATGAACGAGGACTACGCTAACACAAAACACGTAAATTAGTCAGACGAACGGGTTTCGCTTTAATTAATTTTCACGTATCGCATTTTCCATTTCCCTCTCTTTCATTTGCTCTCTATTTGTATAAATATACGTGTATACACATGTATTTCGTTTGTTTTGGCCTTCTTTTGAGTGGTGTGTCTGAAGCAATCTTCGTAATAATCCTGAGGGGGTTGCGCTCTTTACACTCATTTTAACAACGCACAGTGGAACATCACAGAAACAAAACTATCCTTGTGTACGTACTCTAATCTGTACAAAGTACGGAGCGAAATCCCGCACAAAAAAAAATATAGCTGGAGTCCTGGGTGAAGAAGAGAAAAAGAAGAATGTGAACAAAACGAGAGGAGTAAAGAAAAGAAGAGAGCGCGTGCAGAAGTCGTGCATTGGAATGCGACGGATATAGAGGAGAGATATGGATGGAAAACGGGATGGCAGTAGTTGAAATTTTCCCCTGGAAATTAAACCGTCTTTGACACGTTTAATCTCGGCGCTCTCTCGAAATGCAGCCCGATTGCGGCTTTTATATGCGCGATGAGCAGAAGAAGAGAAGTGAATGAAAAAAAAAACACACAAAAAAAATGATGTTGAAGGGAAAAAGAAGATCGAATGTGATATTCCCTGAGTTTATAGAATTTCTTCTACCTTTTTTTCTTCTAAATGGATTTACTAATTAATATTTTTCATTTCGATTCAACCCATATTTGATCTATATACTTTAGCAAATTGAAAATTAATAATATAACATTTATTTTCCATATTATTTGTTGGAATACATTGAATAATGAGTATTTAAGCATATAAATATAGAATATATAAAAATATTACCTATTATTATTATTATGATTTTTTAATTAAACTTTGGTTACGAAACTTTTTCCAAGCTATGTGTGTTGATGGGAGAGAAAGAGAGAGAGAAATCAACAGTGTTTAATCTCTGTTCTCTTTGGTAACGAAACGTAATACTGGCTTTTATATGTTTAATAGAGAACCGTGTGTGCAAAAGTAAAAACTAAAACTAGGAGTAGCATTTTTTTTCGGACTTATTAATTACGAAATTTTGCCTCATCCTGCCTTTCCACATGCAGTAGACTCTCTCTTTTTTTTTTTAATTAATCGTCGCATTGTGGGGACGACGGATTGCATTTAATGGTGGCCCTTTCATTTTCCCAAAAGGTCACAGGGATTGACTGCGAGAGTGGGTGGGTGGGAGTTTGGGTGGAGGAGGGAAATGGAGAGAAGGAGAGGTCCGTTCATTGTTGGTAGTAGGAAGAGCCCCCTTGATCACTTGCAGCGCTCGAGAGGCTGCCCTTTGTAGTATTTAGAAAAACGCTTTGATTATTTTTTGGGGTGCGGTGCGGTATTGTTATGGATTACTAAGTGCATATGGGACACACACTATGGTTTATTACTGCCACCCCAGGGGACCGTATAAATACTCTATTACTTTGTTATATTACATATACAAAAATATAACGAAGAGAGAAACGCATATGAAAATGAATTAATAAAAATGCAAAAAAACGCTCTTCGTATATTTGTGGATGCATATATCATAGCATCATTTATCCTTCTGTGTGGATATGAGCAAAACCGCGAGTATTTTTTTCAATTTGCGTGCGCTTTTGTAATATTTTAATGTTAATTAATTGCACGTGAATGATAGCTGATGGTCATTATTCATACCATTCTTTTTTTTTCTAATTTGTTTTTGCAACTCACTTATGGGAATTGCAAACGTTACCGTTCATTTAGGTGAAGGACAACGCAATGATTTAATAAAGTGCTCATATACCATAAGTGATTTGAATACTTGAAAGCATTTTCAATTAACATGTACATTTCCCTTAAATTCGTCATTTTTTTTATAAATAATAATAATAATTTATTGGCCAAACATCGATACATAAGAAGAAGAGAAAAAAAAAGTACAATTTATACATAAATAAATTTTAACATACAATAAAAATGTATATACTAATAGGCTGACCAAAGTTTATAAATTTATTTATAGTATCTAATATATAATAAGTCTAGAAGATTTGTACCAAATTTCTTAAGTTTGTGAATGTTAAAATTTCCGTTAAAGTAATGCTAATGCTTCATTAATTTCGAGTTGTAGTCATTTAGGGCGCTAATTTCTCAATCGGTGACGTAAGTGTCATTAGTCAAAGTGACGTAAAGCCCTAAGGTTAATGTGTCTGAGCATTCGTGGATAGGTGGGTGATTAATGCTGAAGACCCGAAAGTCGTGTCATTGGAAGTGTGAAGATTTGCATCCGTTAAATTAATGAGCCGCATGTGTGGTCTGGTCTGGTGGTATTCTCCCCCAAAAAAAGCAACCCCAAACACTACCCCTTCCGCAACCACCAACAAACAAAACAAAAAAAACACGAGGACTTTTCGTCCCTTTAGCTCAGATAAGGATCGAGTACGCGTGTGTACGTTAGCTGTCCGAAAATTTTTCGTTGATTGATCACTTTCGTTACGTTCGGCTGAGCCGAAAAACGCAGACGCGTGTCATTCATTAACCATCAAAAAAGGACCAAGAGAAGAAAA